TGTGGATAATGTAATAATGTTATCTATGTGTTGAGATGTTAAATAGGATTAATGGAGTGTATTATAAGAATTGTTAGGGTTGAATGGAGATTTTGGGTATAATGAGTATCTAAATTTGTGCTATGAATAGGGTAATTAGTGTATGGATTAATAAAGCAACTCAAAAACTAATATATGTCCCTTTATCTGGTTTTATTTGGCTTGCAACTTGCAGGAGCCTTCTCACTAATGTGAATAGAAAACAAAAAGGGCTTAGTGACACTGATATATGTCCCTACTGCAACTCTCATACGGAGGACATGATTCAAGTCTTATGAGACTATCCTGAAATGTATACACTTTGGCAGGCATTAGTGCCTCCTAAGGAACAAAACAAATTCTTTACTTTTGATCTGCATCGTTGGCTTGCCTAGAATATGTATAAGAATCGAAACAAGGACCAACAGGATTAGTCTATTCTTTTTATTATCGTTTGCTGGTAGACTTGGCATAAGCAAAATCTAGTTGTTTTTGAAGGAAAATGGATTAATAACAAAACCATTATAGCAAGCTCTCAAGCTACACTTCTGATTATGCACTCTGCATAAGTAAAGCTGAATAGGGGACCAAGTATGACACTGACTAGATGGAGTGCACCTGATAGGGGGTGAGTGAAGATGAATGTTGATGGAGCTTGGTCTGACTTCCATAAAGTGATGACCTGTGGTGGTCTGTTATATAAGCAGAAGGGAACTTTTTACACCAGTTTATGTGTCATATATAAGAGGGCAACGAGCTTACAGTTGAGATTTGGGCCTGTGCACATGGGTTGAAGGTTCCATGGGATGCTGGATATAGGAGAATCATTCTTGAATCTGATTCTACTACTGCTATCTCCTGCATTCAAGAAGAAGTTCATCCTTGTCATCCTAATTATGGAATCATCTTGAAAGCAAAAGCTTTACTGTCAAGAAGTTGGGAGGTGAAAGTCCAACACGTCCTTCGTTCTGGGAATGAAGCTGCAGATTACCTGGCTAAAACATGGGCTTTTTATCTTTGCCTGGCTTCTATCTCTTAGAGTTTATCCCACCTGTGCTGGTTCTTATAGTACAACATGATAGAAATTGCCAGATAATGATGAGTGAAGGACAAGTCATTTAAATTTTGTCTTTGTATCAAAAAAAAAATTTTAGTTGCCAGAAAGTTAAATACTATTTTATGTATAATTACTTGTGAAATTCTATGATTTAAGTGAAAATGAGAAATTGTTAAATGATATGTTATGGATATGTGTTGGATGTATTAAGTATTTTTGACATGATCATTGTGAGAGGTTGGGAGTTCACCCTAGTGTGTTGTTGGAAAATTGTTTAGAAATTCATATGGTATACTGGCATTGTGGGGGTGCCAATGCTCAATATTATATTGTTTGAAAGTCCCAGTATTATAAGTGGTAGATTGGGCATCAACACCCCTAATGATTATGGACAAGGGGAATTTGTAGTCTATAGTGGGTGAAGGCACTTTTGGTCGAGTTTGCCTCTATTAATGGTGAGCTTGGGCCAGTCTAATCACATAGACTTGATCCTATCAAGTTGTTAGCTCACAGATTCAGTCAGAAGATATAAGTAGGATATAAGGTGGTATGTTGATCATGCATTCTATATTAAAATCATATGTGTGTGTATATATATGAGACTTGATACATATTTTACCATGCCACTTCACATACGTACAAACTATTCTCACACACAAGTAGCTGATTAGACTATTTGGTTACTAAGTTCTCAACTCACCCCATTATTACATTTTATAAGTGAAGGCTCCGATAAGGGCAAGGAAAAGGAGGGTGCAACCGAGCATCGGGGGGACTAGCTCTCAGTTGTATAGTCATTTCATTTATTTTAGTTCGTAACAAATATTAAATGCATATGCCAACTTAAGACACATATTGTTTTGTGATACACTTGCATGAATTCTGTTGTTAATGGTGGGTATCTTGGCTTGGGTTTGTTGTATTTGTGTTGAAATGATTGTGAGAGGTCGAGGTATTAGTGCAAGTATTAGTTTTGTTTTGATTCATGTGTAGTTTGGTTATTGGATTGTTTATGAGAAATTGGTACCCCTAGTGAAATTTATGTTAAAAAAGGGGTTTTGGTGGCCAATTCTTGTTTGGGTTGTTATTATTATGATTTGAATGCTTGGAAAGTTATTTATGGTCCATTTGAGTTGGTCCAAGTGGCTCCACGACTATTGGCATTTAGACACCTTGGTAATGATTTTTGAAAGAAAATGAGTCATTTTGGGTTTGAGTGTCCAAATCTTATTTGGCTCAATGTTTTGGGTGTGAGACTGATGTCAATAGATAGGTGGCTCTAAGAGCTACATGTGGATATTTGAATAGCTCAAATCGGATGTTAGACGGCAAAATAGCACACTCTAGAAGTTGGTCCAGAGAGCTATCATGACAGGGCACGTATGCCATAGTGCATTATTCATCGCGCTGCAGTATGAGGCACAGAGAGGGATGTTTCCCTTTATGTAGTCTGCTGTGGCAGATGATGTACTGCGTCGCGGTGTACTATGCCTATATGACTAGAAATATATTATTGCTTATTATTTTTATAGCATGATGAATTTCCTATGCTTTTGTTGACTTATTTACTTAGTTTTAAACTATAGTTTGAGCTTAAATGATCTTTGAAAAGAGTTTTCTCGGGGTCTTGTTTTTCTCAAATATTCTTTAACCCTTGGGTTATGATAACTATATATATGGGATTAATGTAATGTAATCTCAATTATCATAACATTGTTCCGTGTTATGTGTTTTGTGTGTTTGGTAATGTCAAAGATGATGTTACACAACCACCGAGACCGAATGGCCGACTTCCAATAGGTCAAGACTGAGGGAGATAATAGGGACCTAAAGATCGACTTCCACTATTCCAGTCATGATGGAAGTCGGCCATCTAGTCCTTATGGAAGTCGGCTGTCCAGTCCTTATTATTGCTATAGGTCTAGTCTTAATGGTTGCCATCAATCTGGTCTTGGCGGTCATAGTTGGTATAGTACTAGTGGAAGATGGCCATCCAGTCTCAATGGAAACTAGTCATCCAATCCCTGTTGTTGTCAGTTCGATCGTGGTGGAAGTTCACCATACAGCCCTCATCATCGTTGTTAATTCAGTGCCAATGGAAGTTGGCCGTCTGGTCCTTGTCGTCTCGTCGTTCTGATCCTAATAGAATTCGATTGTCCCGTCCTAGCTATTACTGATACTACAGTCCCAGTCGGCTTTAACTATCTAATCCTGGTGCCAGTTGGCTATTTGAACCGTCGACTTTGACCAGTATTTCAAGTTTCTTTTAAATTTAAATATAGAATTTAAAATTTTATTTTCGATCCAAACAAAGAATTTTAATATTATCATTTGAAATTTTTTATATCATCCAAACAAAGAATTTAAAATCTATGAATTTCATATGTGATATTTCAAATATGAGATTTTAAATCTAAATTTTCAACTTAAATCCACCATCCCAAACGCAACCTTATAGAATTGAAATGAGAATTACATATAGTGTCTCAAGGCTTTTACAATGTGCTAATTTATAGGGCTAAAAATATATAACATCTACATTTTTACTAAGAAAAATAAAAAATTGGGGGGCTATAGCCACTGTTGGTTCCTTCCTATCTCCACCCCTAAAGTTGGTATTCTCCAATTAATGGGTATCAATTTTCCTCTAAAAGATGAATCTCTAAGTGATCAAAAGACTTTGCTCGTACCTAAATGGCTCCGAAACTTGTAACTTTTTGTTAAATTACAACTAAATGATACTAGTGATGTCTTGTCACGGATTTAGTTCAAACTCCTTTGGAATACCTTAGCTTAAAACTAGTATTTATATAAATTTAGAATTAAATACCTATACTATTTTTTATTTTAGTTTCAAATTAAATTAAAAGCATGGTATTAAATCTATGGTCTTATATTTTCAAAGTAAAGATTAATTAGAAGAGAATTTAAATAAAAAAATGTTACTTTTATATATAATTATTATGTTTAATTAATTTTTTTGAATCGTGTGAATTGGTTAAAATTTATTTACATTTATACGTGGAAGGAATATAGTATTTTGATAAATTTTTTTTTATTGCTTATGGCATTTGACACAAGAAAAAAAAATCATGTTAGATTACTAGAGTTACTTAAGCTTGAAGAACTCGCTAGAAAAAGCTTGAGAGAACAGAAAAAACACACAAGATTTATGATCAAAATGTGGCACTCAATGAAACTAGATTGAGCCTTCAATTGTGATAATGAACTAAAAAAAAAAAAACAAAAGGAATAGTCACCAATATACAAACAATTGGACGTTCTTTAACCTTTGAAGTGATCTAAGAAATCATAAAGTACATGTCATCCAAAGTATTGAACCTTATCTGGGCATTCAGAAGAGTTTCGTCCAGGAAGGAAAGAAAGAAATATATATTATTAATCAAAAAAGGTCCGTTGATGCAAAGCTCCTCCTCCCTTCATCCACTGCTGAGCATCCACTGCTATTTCAAACTGTGGCTTGTTATTCTTGTTTCTTCATCCTTTTCGTCCTTATTTGACACCTCTAGGTATCTTTCTCCTCACTGTTGTTTTTTCTGTTCATCTTGTGATTTGGCTTCATCTTTCCTTTTTTGCTAGTTCAAATTAGTCTTCTTGTATTCTATTTCTCCAACCCAGGATTCAACTTTCTATTGAAATTTGTTTTCATGGTAAAATTTAAAACTTGAAAAAATTATAAAAATTAAAAAAATAAATTTTTAAAGAATTTTTGAGACTCATCCGCCTTCTTCTTAATATAAACAATTCCTAATATAAATAAAATTTTAATCTTAAATAAAAAGGACACTGGAAGTGAAATCCAAGAAACTATAGTTTGCCACATCAACCAAAGCATCGAATCTCATCAAGACTGTTTAATTTAAACTAATCCTATTCGTCGGTTTCATATCATGTTGAACGTGTTCTCTTTAGGGAAGCACAAGCCGTCGACTCTGCTCCTCCATTCTTCATCCCCCCTCGTTCTTCGCTGTCAAGGGTGGAACATCGACAGCGAGACTAATATCAGGTTCTTTAATCCATTTCCTCTATCTTCTTCGTGCCCATGAAACACTTCCAGGTATCCTTCCTCGATCTCATTTTCTCTCTTCATCTTTGTGATTAGGCTTCATATTTCTTGGTTTACTGAAACAAATTAGTCCTGATGTGATCTGCTTCTCCAACCCTAGAATCAAACGTTATATACTTTTCTTGATCAAGTATCAGCTTTTCTTTTTTCTTTTTTGCCAAATGTTCTGACGCGCACATTTTCTCTCAGTGGGTGTGATTGATGTATGCTACCTTAAATTTCTTTGGTTGGGCTTTTGTCGGAGATTCTCATTGTATTTGTTTTTCAGTTTGAATCTATGAAATTTGACATAACAGGGCCTTTTTCTTCTTAAGACTATTCAACATAAGTTACTTCTTTCCAGGGTTTTGCATTTTGCGTCATTTTTCTATTCACGTTTAATAAAGACTGCCCAATCTAACGAATGCAATAAAGTCAACAAACAAACTTTTCTAAATTTCATAAAAGCAAAAGAAAAAAACCACATCCACGTGATTTTTGCTCTGGAAATAACAATGTTTACCAAGTTTGTTGAAAAAAAGACTCATTTATATCTTGCTTTGCTTGCTTATTGAAGTTTTTCTTTGTCAATGGAGCCTCCATAATCTTATAGAATGTTGATAGGCTTTAAAGCTGGGGAATTTCTAAACTTGTCTTAATGCTTTATCAAGCAGACAGCTACGATTAAGTTCAAAGAGATGCAGTTGAGGCAATTTAATAGCTTGATAATGTGGCGCGTCTTTGGGCTCATGTTTGGACAACATAAGTTATTTGTCTCATAGGGGCATTGTGGATCTAGAAATATGCTCATTGAAGGAAACAAATACATAAGTCAATTATTTTGATCGTAGTGGGCCATGTTAAATTGTTATTATCCCTACTGACTCTTTAGAAGCTTTGTTCATCCCCACTTCCTCTGAGTGAAGTATCACTCCATCATAGCGAAGATGATTGCAAGAATAGGGCACAAACATTTAAAACCAATGTCCAACCACGAAGAAAGTGGAAGCAAAGTAATTGCAGTGTCCAAGCAACAAGAAAGTAGAAGCGAAGTGATTGTGAACGATAAGATTAGTTGCTTACTGGATTCTCTACTTCATCATATCCTATCTTTTCTTCAAACAAGAGAAGTTATTGCCACAAGCCTGTTGTCAAAGAGGTGGAGATCGCTTTGGTGTTCAATGCCTACTTTTGACTTTGATGATGGAAGAACTTCTAGTCTTGACTTCTTCATTCAGTTTGTAGATGTAGTCCTGTTATTGGCGGATTTGAGACCTATAGAAAAGTTTCGGTTCAAGTATCAAAGATTTTGTGTACGAAATAAAGGTAAAAGGCTTGAGCAAAAAGGGGTTCCCCCTGTTAAGATTAATATTTAGATTAATACAGCTATAAATCGCAAAGTTGAGTATTTTGAACCATGCTCTGACTATAATGAGGACATTGCAGCACCCCCTAGCATCTTCAACTGTAGTACCATAAGGGTTTTAAAGTTGAATTGGCCAATTGGGTTAAAGTGTATACTTCTTCTGTTAAGTTGCCTTCTCTTAAAGTCATACATTTGGTCAATGTTAAACTTCCAGATTATGAATGTTTGGCAAATCTTCTCTTGGGGTGTGCACTTCTTGACGAATTGGTATTGGATTTAAGGATAAATGATGATGGGGATGAAGATAAAGATGGTGACAAGGGGGAAGAGAAAGATTTCACCATTAATATTGAAAAGCTTAAACATTTGGTTTTAGCAAATGTTCCTATCTTTCTAATTACTTCAAAAGCTTTGACTAACATGACATTCCTACATTTAAATGCGGTATGAATGAAGCCTTAAAATGTAGTGTGTTATCCTTGAAGTCATGCTTCTGTTCTTTTTGGGATGATTTCTTTTGTTTATCTTTAGTTAATAGAACTCAATGATTTTTGTAACATATCACCCCAAAAGTAGGCGAGATTAAAGTTTAGTACTGTATATGTTTAGGGTTTCCTAGTCATGAATCTAAGGTGCTTAGAACTTTAAATGTTTGTTTGGGGATGATAGGCTTGTAAATAGTTTGTTAAACTTGGCATTCCCCAATCAATGGGTCTCAATTTTCCTTTAAAAGAGGAAGCTTCAAATGATCAAAAGACTATGCTCGTGCCTAAATGGCTCTGAAACCTATAACCTTTTGTTAAATTAGAACTGTGACAAAAAAAAAAAAATTATACCGAAATGATACATTGTACTGTAGTTAAGATGTCAGGTCAGGAATTTGGCTCAAACTCCTTTGGAATACCTTAGCTTAAAACCAGTATTTATATAAATTTAGAATTAAAATTGATATTATTTTTTGTTTTATTTTCAAATTAAATTAAAAGCATGCTATTTTTTTTTGTCTAATAAAAGCATGGTATTAAATAGTATGTGATTTTACATTTTCAAAGTACAGATTAATTACGAGGGAATTTTAGTCAAAAAATAATAATTTCATACATAATTATTATGTGTGAATTGGTTAAAATTTATGTACATTTAAATACAGAGGAAATATAGTATTTTGATAAAAAAATTTAATTGGTTATAGCATTTGACACCAAAAAAAAAAAAAAGAAAACCATGTTAGATTACTAATGCAAATTAGGGTCTGTTTGGTTTAAGTGGAGGGGAGGGGTTTTGATGGAGGGGATGAATGATATTTTATTTAGTTTAGGAGTGGAGGAGAGGGGAGGAAAAATAAATATATACATAACTTTACCTTCATATAAGTAAAATTGTTTTTTCTAATAAAATATAGTTATGAATATTTTTAATATATAATTATAAGTATATAATTATTCATAGTTCATATATATATGAATATATTGTCAATAATAGATTCAATAATAATTTATTCAAAGTTTATAAACTAAAGGTATGAACAAGCAGTAAGTTTATTAATATAAAATAAAAAATAACAAAACATGCCAAAAAAATAGAAAAATAGAAAAAATAAAATAAAGGAGAGAAATAAAAATGACAGAAGAATGCAATTTGAATAGAGAGGTACATAATAGCAAAGAAAGAGAGATATTTTTGGATTTTCATATTATAAATGGGGTATATTAGTCCAATATAATAAAATTATACCTCTTCCATCCTCATCCCCATTTTGGAGGGGAGGGTTTGGAGGGGACGGGAGAAAAACCCTCCCCCCAAATCAAACATGCTCTTATACTTTCTTTGGATAGGAAAAAATATGGGAGGAAAAAAAAACATGAGGAGAAAATAGGAGAGAATAATTTTTTTCCTATTTGGATGAGAAAGAAAAAGTGGAAGGAATAGAAAGTGGAGAAGAAATAGAATGTGGGACTCACCATATTTTCTCTGCAAGTTTTGTTTCCACAAAAGGAGATATTTTTGATAGGAAAATGTTTATTCCACATCTACCTTTCTGCTTCTTTGCATATGACCCGTTTTTTTTTTTTTCATCTTCTACCCTCCATTTTCTTTTGCCTTAGGACCTCAGCATTTTGATTCATATTATAGTTGCTACAATAATTTATTAGCTACATCATAATAAATGATAGTAAATATCATAAAAATAATTTAATGCTGATTCACATAATTCTTATGATTATAAAAGTCTTTGGCTTAAAAATTAATGACCTTTCATTACTTTATCTAAGCATTGTGTATGTCTCCATCTTCTTTGCAAACTGCATATTTTTATAAATATGTGCCTCTCATGTTTTCATGATATTATATATATATATATATATATAAAATTTATTTTTTATGTTCTAGTTCCTTATGCTTGCTATGGAACTCATGACTATATATAAAAGCAAAATTCTCTCACCAACCAACCAATTCTTATTTTTAAGAATTCCACGACATCTAGACCAAACTACGTCTAGAAAAGAAAGCCGTACAAGAACTCAATTCTGAGTGAACACCCACCCCCATCCCCACCCATAATTCCACGACATCTAGACCAAACTACGTCGTTTAAGCACTTCTTAGGTCTTTAAACTCGAGTACTCCAATTTCAGATTTTTCTTTTTTCTTTTTGGTTGACCAGCATCATAACTCCAATGCTTGACCTTGCATTATTCAAACTAAGACATTTCTTACACGAGGCTTCAGGGAAAATTTTGGCAGTGAAATGACAATCTCTCTACATCTTTACCTACTGTAGTATTATTATGTATACGTTATCTTTTAGAATGAATTGATGATTTTTTTACGAGTTATTTTATATAAAAAGATGAATCATTAATTATTTTATTTCAATTTTATTATTTCAATTTCTTTTTATAAGCTTATTTCACAATTTTTTATAAGTAGAATTAAAATGTTATACGGTAAGACTTATATAATTAATCTTATATACTTAACATACTTACATCAAATCAAATTATAACATGTGGATCTTAATGTATTAATTTAATTAATATCAAGAATTTATTATAGAAAAATAATCTATAAAAAATTCACATGTCTTAATTTAATTGAATACAAGTATTTTAAGTATATAAACCTAGGGATATAAGTTTTTTCCAATGTTATATATATGAGAGAGAAAATGCTTCAAGGATAATACATTTAATATGGATAAATTGAATTTTTTTCCTTGATAAATCGACAATTTAATTACACCACCTCCTTTAGTTTTGATAAAATAGTTATAAATGATTTGAATATAAAATCCGATGGGCTATCTGTCACACCCATACATCTTAATGTACTATTATTTTTTTAATTACAGTGATACGAAATTATTTCGGTATTTGCAGATTTAGAGTACTTCAGTAAGCATTTGGAAAGGATTTTAATTTCTACGTTGGTTGAGGATTCAAATAATAGAGTTATCAACCTAAAAAATTCTCTCAATGAAACTAGATTGAGCCTTCAGTTGTGACAATGAACAAGAAAAGAAAGGAACAGTCGCCAACAAACAAACAATTAGATGTTCTTTATCTGTTGAAGTGATTTAAGAAATCATGAAGTGCATATCATCCAAAGTAGTGAACCTTATTTGGGCCATTCAAAAGAGTTT